TTACCAACAAATTTAAATCATAGGATGGTTGATGGGAGTGACAGATTTTTGATAGTCCATGATGCTTCAATTCAAAAATATAAAGGGTTGGTTTTTATTGACGATGGAAGTGAAAGGCATGTGAAGATCAACGTGATTACGGTAGACAATGATGGAGAACAAGGCAGCGTCGAATGGAGGGAATTGATCAGTCCATCCACATTTCGTCTGGAAGGAGTTTTCAAGCCCATCACTGTGAATGGAATATTGTATTGGTTAGCATACACTAGTACTTATGATCATATTAATCAACTAGCTTTTGTTCAATCAATGGACATTGCTAAAGAGGAGTTTACGCAAGGAATAAGCTTGCCATGTCAACCAAAATCAGATTCCTATCACCAACTCATAAATTGGAACTTGTTAGAGATGAAGGGATCGATTTACTTGTCAAACCCGGCCACTGATATGGAATTAGAGTTATGGATGTTGGAGGATCTGGGTAATCAGATTTGGGTTATGAAACATAAAATATGTCTTGTTTCAATTGTTGGTAAGCCTAATAGGATGTCGAGTTTCTTAGTGAGTGATTCGTTTTACCCAATTCAAATGATAGGGAATCATGGATTGATGATCATTCTACATGATTCATGTATCATGAATGTTTTAAGAAATGATGATGATGATGTTTTAGGATATCGTGATGAAGATGACATGGATCTTTTGGATGGAATGGGCTGGTACTTGCACAACTTGAGGAGGCTGGAGGTGAGATGGTACTTGTACAACTTGAGGAAGCAGGAGGTCAAAGCTATCGTCGGTAGGCCTACTGAAGCGAATATACGTTATTATCACTATCATTCACGGGAGCCGGTTACTTTTGTCAGAAGTCTAGTTGGTTGGAATTGATTTTCTTTTCTCTTTTTTGGTTTTGAAAGCTTTTCTGGTGCTGTTTTGTGAGCCTATTTTTTTAAAATGGTGCTCCTAGAATTTCAATATTTTTTTTCAGAAGTGAAGTATTTATTAATATTTCTAAATGATTTTATATTAAAATATGTGTTCTTTCGATTGTTGGTAAGCCTTATAGCGTGTTAATTACTTCCCTTTTGTGTTTTTAACTGAAATGTTTATATTTCTATAATGTATTCAAGAAAAGACCACTGAAAAAATGAAAACTTCTGTATGGTTAACCTCTAGGCAATTTTAGCAAGGAGAGGTTGATTAAAAGCTTCCAAGTCTCTGAAACCGGCCAATGCCTCCTTCAGATTTAGATTTACAGAGTTTGGGTCAGCTTAGCCATTTGACTTGATTACTATTCTTTACCACTCCGGCCACCAGAAGTCCATGAATTGGAAGCTTGAAGGAAGACATGGTATATGAGGGGAGGGTGGATAACACGGACTTCAGATTTAGATTATTGAAATATCTATTATATTTATGTATTATATTCTGTTTCCTTTTCCCTTTTTTCCCCCTTAAATTACTCCTTCACAGAATATTTGATATGAGAATATTATACTAAAGATTTTAGCCTACAATAAAATATTGATTAGAGTGATTTATGGTATTGATTTTAAGAATCTTCCATTAATGTATTTTCCATATTTATTACCTCTATTCTTTGATTATGTTTTGCTTCATTTTCTATTTCTTTTCTTCAACTTTAACATAGATTTCCTAGACATGCGGATTATAGCTTACTAGCTTTTGTTGTCATTATTCTTGTTATTGCTAGCATTGTTATTGTCATATTTTCTGGTTAGCTATAAAATAATCTCAATGTATACAATGTTTTACATCACACTTAATTATATACCTGCAGGTATTGTACGTACGTAGTATTTTAGAATGCAGTCTGAAGCCTTTGTATCATCCAAAAACATGGATCTACAAAACTACATCCTTATTATTATTTACCACTTTACTTTTTCAAAAAAAGGGCAAAATAATGGTGAGTAACCTAGTTTATTCATGATTCTCTCTAAGCACCTTGGTATGAACACAGGTTGCTTCATAGTTTGATGGTCATGAGTACGTAAATTATATCTGTTTTGGCACTTTGCTTATTAAGCTAATCATACTCGAAGATGATACTAGGAGCGCACAAAAAATCGTTAAAACAGTGAATCTGGTAAGAATTGTATCGAACTGTCGCTTTGATTCGATTCCTGTTCCGAATTTGGAACTTCGGTTTCAATTTCGGTTTTAGGTCCATGAGAATTCACCTGAATCGAACTATACACACACACACACACACACACTATAATATTAATAAACAATAATATAGCATATGTCACAAAGATAAAACACACAAAAGTACACAATAATATGTTTTTTAGGCTACTCAAAGATAAAGCTACTGTCAAATTATTGTGAGATACATAGAAGTTGCAGAGAGAACAAAAAAACAAAGATTACATAAGGAGTTGAGATGCAGGTGATGAGGGGATTGTTTAGAACTGAAGTAACTATTTATATTTCTATGATATCTATTCAAGAAAAGACCACTGCAAAAATGAAGCAGCACTTAGAACACATGGGTGGTGATTTCTTTCCTAGACATGCAGATTATCTAGCTAGCTAGCTTTTGTTTTCTAGTCAGCCATAAAGGAGAGCAACCTAGTTAATTTATCCATGATTCTCTATAAGTAACTTGGTACGTATGAACACAGGTTGCTTCAGAAGGTTGATGATCATGAACCATTTATATCTGTTTTGGGACTTTGATTGATTATCGATTACTTGATCGAGTCGAAGTCTTAGGAGTAACTCAAAGTTCTGTTTGGTAGTGACAGTTTATAGTAATTTAATTGTTTTCGGTAGTGAATATATCCTACCTACACAACCTGATTTTTACTGCATTGACAACCACAAGAAGTTTTCCGTCTCTTAGTCACAAAAATTTGAGAAAATCATCGTGAGAAGCCATTGTAGAGATAGAGGTATATATCTCCTTGCTTTTTGGCTAAAGATTGCTATTGTTGGTCCATTTCGAATAAACTTAAATCAAGTGGATTAAATATTGTTGAACAAATATAGGAAGAAATTTGGTGACATGTCTCTCGAATGTCTGAAAGTCCCATGACTCTCTATATCATTTCTCTAAATTATAATTTATGATATTTAGTATGGTTATTGTTATGAGTTTTCCTTTCTACCTTGTTAATCCATGGTACAACCAAATAATATTGGAAATGCGTGAGTAATTTTAAAAAATATATATTAATATTAAAAATAAAAAATAAGATAATATAAAAACTGCAACTACCGTGGATGTATCTAAATGAGTTTTTTTTGTGTGTGTGTGTCTGTGTAATTTTAGTTAATTATTTGAGTTGTTGATCATTGATCTATGATGATTTTATCGAATGACAAATTTTGTTTAATTGAAAATGTACAAAATTCTCAATCAAAACTAAAGTCCGACACTCCAACCCAACCCCACAAATTGCAAAAAAACATTGTTACATGGAATAGCTATTTTCCTACTCCCAAAAAGCACACACCAATTGGTCTCATTTGGTTTAGAATCATGACTTTATTTTTGGGGATTGGGCTCTTGATTGGGCTCCTATTGTGTTGCCTGAGTTCTTTCGGGCCCTTGTGATCGGGTCTTGCCTATCATTTAGGCCTTTCCCTTTAGTAAATATTTTATATCAATATATTTGTTTTATTTTTGGGGGAAAAAAAATTATATCTCAAGATATTTAATTTTTTTTTTATCTTAAAAAATTGAGGAGACAAGGGACTCGAATACGGGTATATCGCTAGGAAAGCTGGGCCAATTAGGCTTGGATAATGCCCAGTATCTCAAGAGTTTGACACTTTGACATACTAAAAGATTTAGTATGAGAGTGATATGAAAATAAAGAAATAAAAATATAAGTTTATTTTAAGGTTTTAAAAAAAAATTGACAGTCACGTGACATGTTCTGTAAGCTACTAATGAAGTAGTTATTTATTTATTTATTTATTTTTGTCGGAAATTCAAGAAAAATTGTATAGATATAAAAAAATTTCAAACAGAGGGCAACACAGCCCACAGGCGAACAAAGCCTAAGGCAAGGCAACATGGAAAAGTCCCAAAGAGAGGCCCAAGTCATGCGGCCCAACCAAACACCATCCAATCCCACATCAGGGCAAATCGGAGGCCTCCCGTGGACGCCAAAAAAAAAAAGGGAAAATTACATATAAATGGAGTCAAAGTTTCATATTTACTTAGAGGCTAAGTCAAAGTTTCATATTTCTCTAAAATGGATTGCTGAGGTGGCACATGGTTTTTTACTGTTTAGAAATTGTGGTGTCTAAAATACCCTTCCGTGAAGGTACTACTTTTTCTCCAAAGGTACCACTTTTTTGAACTGAAGGTACTACTTTTTGGTGTCCAGGTACCATGTTTTTTAAACACTCGCGAAGGTACTACTTTTTCTCCAGAGGTACTACTTTTTTGAACTGAAGGTACTACTTTTTTGAACTGAAGGTACTACTTTTTTGTTAGGGAAGGGCATTTTAGGCACCACAATTTTTTAAACAGTAATAAACCATGTGCCACCTCAGCAATCCATTTTAGAGAAATATGGAACTTTGACTCAGTCTCTAAGTAAATATGAAACTTTAACTCCATTTATATGTAATTTTCCCAAAAAAAAAAAAACATAACTACAGGTATATGCAGAATTATAATATAAAAAGGCGAAACGTAAGGCGCAAGACTCGTACTACCTGAGCAACGTTTACTGGAGTGCGGTATGTCGGAGACTCTGACCGCTCCTTCTCTCGCCATTTCCCCCTTTCTCTCTCCTCTCTCTTTCTCTCTCTACAACATTAGTTGTTCTTGCATTAATCTGAATCAAGAAACACACCACAAGATAAACACCCGCCATTTACTTCTATATCTGTGAATTGTAAATTTGTTATATATATATATATATATATATATATATAGTTTTCTCTCTCTCAATTACTCGTAATATTGATTGTCCTGGATCGATCGCTCGATTGAATAGGAGGTGGTGGCGGAGATGTCGTGGATTAGATCGGCAGTGAACAAGGCCGTCGAAGTTGGCGGCATGAACAGCCTCACTCGCACCGTCCGTACATACGCCGACTCTGTTGTCCAACAAGCTGGCCAAGCCGTTGCCGAGGGTGCCAAGATCTTCCAAGATCGCATTGTAATTCTCTCTCTACATCTTTCTCTCACTCTGCACATTATTTTCCATACATTTATTGCTTTCTTTTTTAGTTAATTTTACTGCCATGATTTGCCTCATTTTTAATTTTGTATGCGTTTCTGGGAAAAAAGAAATGCTATTTAAATTCTATTACGGATTTACATGGATTCTTTATTATATACATTGGGTATGTTTTAATAATGTATAGGAGGGAAGTCATGGAAATCTTTCATGATTTGGTTACCTTATAACAGCATATATAGGTCAAATTATTGGTTATGGAGGACTTTTCTCATATTGATTATATGTGTGTATGTATTAATGTATAAGAGGGAAGTCATGGAAATCTTTCAGCGTTTGGTTATGTACGTTATAACAGCATAGGTCTAATTATTGGGTTTGGAAGATTTTTTCTCATTGTTTGATTATTTATTTTTAAACAATGTTTGCCCTAGCAAATAGAAAAAGAAAATTACAAAAAAAATCTAAAACTGATCTTTTAAACTAGTATATCTTTTCTTGTTAGTGTGTCTACGTTGTTATCATATTAGATATACTTTTTCTTGATTTATCACTAATTGATAGAACTCATATTTTATCCTTAAAATGTTAATTATTAATCTTAGTATTTTCTAGTTACTCCTATCATCCACTTCAGCATCTCATCCAGTGCCATGAGTGCATTATTTCCTTTTTAATGCCAACATTATGCTCCATAAAGATTGCTGACCTTAATGACCATCTTGATAAGTTTAACCTATTTGACATTTCTTATCACATAGGATACCACTAAATATGTAACGTGTGAAACTAGAAACGAAATACTTTATGTGATGTAGAGAAATAGTAAGAATTCTATTCTGATAATAAATATGAAAGCTCTCTAGCTCCGATGTGCATGTGCCAGAACTTTTAGTTTTAAAAATTTTAACAGATGAGCAAGCTCTCTCCCTCTCTGTGTGTATGTGTGTGTAATGGGTAGGTAGGATTTGAAATCGCAAGTTGGTTGCTTCAATTCTGTCCTCATGGTTCCTTAGTTATGAACATTGAGGAGTAAATTACCTCTCTCCCCATTATGGATATCCAATGCGCGATGGGTAACTAAAATATTCACTTTTCTTCTTTTGATATATATATATATTTTTCTTGACAGTGATGCTATTATTGTACTGTTGTTTGTTTGTAGACCATTCCAAGTAGTTAAATAAGATTTATCGGGTAGTTTATTTGTACTTATTATTCCGTTTAAAAACATGCATGGAATTGCAGGCTCCTCGAAATTTTCAAAGCTTTAAGCTTGCTGTGAAAAGATTGGAAGAAGTTTCTGTTTCTTGTAGAGGAATAGAAAGAATTCAATTACTAAGAAGGTGGTTGGTTGCACTTAAAGAAATTGAAAGAATATCTGGAGGCTTTCTAGAGACTACAGGAAAAGAATCTCAGCAGCTTCATATCTATGATGAATCCAGGGATTCTCCTAGAAAGCCTACTTTGGTGAGTATGTGACCAAGCATATTCTCTTAGAATTCCTACTGCATTGAGTAAGTGACTAAGAATAGTCTTATATCAGATTGCTTTCATCCTTCTGAATGGTCTACCAATGTTAAGCATAGTGCACAGTGCACACCTGAGAGTTGCAACACTACTTTGTTTGCATTCAGAAATCAAATAATTAAATATTATCAAAATTTGAGGACTTCTTTCAAATGTATCTAGCCTTAGGAAATTGGAACTTGTATTGTATCACTACTGTAAATTTTGTGTTGTTGACAGAAGTTATGTAATTATGGGTTTCATTTTACACTTAAGGTGGCACAGGCTCGATGCACATGCTCCTTACTAAATTCTCTCTCTCTCTCCCCCTTCCTTTTGTTTCCTCCACTTATTAGGTTTCCTCTGCTACATTGCAAAGTGGTGACACTTTAGAAAATTCCACTCTAGAAAATGACATACCAAACATACCAAAAGAGCTCCTGGCTTACTAAAATTGTAAATTAGAGAAATACGACCAGCAATGATTTGAATGTGTTTCTAACAATAGTAAAATTTTAAAATATATTCTTCATAGCTTTGATTTACTTCTGGTGATGCAACAGCACATTGATTTAGCCTCTATCTGCCACAAATAATTATTTTAAGATCCTTTCTTTGGGCTTCCTAACATGAATTAGCTTGAATTTCTGTCTCTACCTTTCAGTAAATCTGTTTAGTTTCTTACAGAACTGTTGATGTAAATAGAACGACATCTTCCACCAGAACTGTTAGGAGCCATCCATGCGAAGTGTTTTCCTATTCAAATTGTGGAACCTTTTTTTATAAGCATAACTGATTTATGTCTTTTATTCGACCCTTCAATTTTCTTTGATTATCCTCTATTCTAGAAATGAAAATGGTCCTTTGGATCCAGGGGTTCGAAATACTGCCCACGTATTAGGACAGGAAATTGAGCTATTACCGATTCTGTCATTAGGATTCATTTTATGAAAATATATCTGTTTGTTCTGTCTAATTTTATGCGGATGATCAAGAAATAAAATAAAATGAGGTTTGTGACGCATGCATGCCTTCTGAGTTAATTTTTCCTTCAGAATCTTGATTTTTTGTTCAAAATTGTTTTGCAGCAAGCATGTATAATTGAGTGACTTATCTCTGTTTTTTTACTGCATTTTGTATAGGCTTCGTGAGGAACTGCTTCATATGTAGCATCAACAAACTATGACTTCAAAATGTTCTCTTTATAGCTCTTGTGGATAGGTTTTCTTATTGCTAAGAAGAATCTATATGAAAGTTTTTGCCTCTATCGATAGTTGAAGGTTTTTGTTTGCTTTTTTGTCCAGTCTCTTCCATTCAATTTTTTACAGAACTTTATAATGTTATGCTTGGCTGTATAGGATGAGGAGCATTTTTCCTAAAAAAAGATAAAATCATGAAAAATATCATTTTAATTAAATTGCCTAAGTTGGACCCCTGAGAAACATGCCCAAAGACATCTAAGACCAAGAAAAAAGAAGAAAATTTTTTCCCACCAGGGAAAGGAAAATTATAAGCAAAATAAGTAGTCAAAATGGTCACAAGACTTCCATAATGTCTAATCCCTGTGAATGTCAGTAGTATATGCTCCTTTAAGTTGAAATAATGAGGATCACCAAATAATATAATCATATTCATTCTACTTATCGGAAAAAAACCATCTTCACGAACTCAACTCGGCTAAATTCAACTCAACAAGTCTTTCTCCTGACTACTAGAGGCCATCTATTTAATCATGTTTTGTCATTTTGTTCTATCGAAGTCCGTAACTTCATCATTATGCTCTATCAAAATCCATAATGTTTGTTGAATCACATTTGATCATATCTTTCTTTACTATCTCAACCAATGCTAATTTTATTTTTCCCACATCCCAACATTACCCTTAATTTGGACGACATCACTCTTCTTTATTGGTGCAGTTATTGGTCATCACTACACCTGGCAAACCATCGTTGATTTTTTCTCATTTGTCCCCACTAGGTGCTATTTGAATTTTCTAAAGATGTTGTTGTTTCTAATTTATCCTTTTTGACCACACATTCATGTTAACATTCTTATTTGGACTGTTCTCATATTAAAAAGCATGCTTTTTTTTAACCGCCCTTGATTGAGGCCATGGCCTTAGATAAAGCAGAATGAAAACGTAGGATTCCTGCAGTCAACCCAAGTAGTTGGGAAAATGGCTTTGGTGGTGGTTGCTATTTTTTCAACTGCCCAACATTCGGTGCCATAAAGTATTATTGGACTTATATAATTTCCTTTTAGTTTTAGAGGTAAATGTCAGTCATACAAAGTGCCAGAGGCACTCCGTTTAAACCATCGTCCTTTTTTTTTTTTTTTTTTTATGAGTAAATCATCTTTTATCTTAACTTCATTATAAATAATTGAGTCCAAGTGACAGAACTGTTCACTTTTCTGTTTCCCTCTGACTCATGACTTTTACTACAATCCTATCTTGTATTCCTAGATTTGCTAAGCTATATTCCTCATATACAATTTCAGTCAGAATTATATTAGACCCACTAGATTCAAGAAATTCTATCTGTAGCTTTAAATTAGCATCTACCCTTTCTTGGGTTTTGTTCTTTGTTGTCTTTCTGGATTGTCCTCTAATACGTACACCTGATACCCTCAACCTTTCCTGTGATGGTAAACTCTCTTATAAAATATCCTTTCAATATTTGCATGCTAGATGACATACTATTCTTGTTGGATAAAAGCCAATTCGCTTCTTTTTAATTTACATTTCAATGTAATTTAATGTTTATCCTCTATTAAAAATAAGTATTTTTCATAATAGCTTTCATATGATAATTTGTCACTGTGAAATCTAGGATAGCCTCCTTCACTAGATCCGTATCTCCAATTATGTGCACCATCTTATATTTTCCACAATCTTTTTCTAAATGATCATTAGAGTCTCCTCCTGTAAACCATTTAATCTCATTTGGGTATTTCTTAAATTAATTCATTTATATGATCCTAAAATCGTACTTTGATTTTTATTCGTCTAGTTCTACTTGGGATGCATACCAATACAAGTTAAATTAATACTATCCTATATCCTTCTCTAGTAATGGTTATAACTTAAATCTTTTGAATTTTGTTTCAACAATAACCCCTACTCCATCTCTCTCTCTCTCTCTCTCTCTCTCTCTCTTAATCTTTTTCTAAATGATCATTAGAGTCTCCTCCTGTAAAACATTTCATCTCATTTGGGTATTTCTTAAATTAATTCAATGATCCTAAAATCGTACTTTGATTTTTATTCGTCTAGTTCTACTTGGGATGCATACCAATACAATTTAAATTAATACTATCCTATATCCTTCTCTAGTAATGGTTATACCTTAATCTTTTGAATTTTGTTTCAACAATAATCCGTACTCTCTCTCTCTCTCTCTCCATATATATATATATTTAAATAATATATTCCTATATAACAAAGTATATTATAAAATTTTACGTTTCCTAATTTCCTATCCTACCTACTTAGATTTTTGTAGGCATGCTATGTTAACTTTTCAATTATAGTGTCTGCAAACCCCATCGCTTCACTTTTTATTGTTCCAATACTTCATGTCGATGTTGTAAACCTCATAGGATAGACTAACTTTTACACTCCTTTTTGTCCGGAACAACTTGGGTATTTTGTCTACTTCTTATCATGTCTGGATGTTTATGTGCCAGGAGTTGATGCAATAAATTGCATCGGGGTGTCCTAAATTCACTCAAGTATTCTTAGGATTCTTGGTAATGGAGACCTAGAAAATGTTTCAGTCTAATACAAGCTAACTAATTTTATCATCCTCCTTTATCTGAGCACCAGGCTGCTATTGTAAAGATAAGATAATAGGCACGGAATGCGATTTTTTGTAGGTAGATTTTTTTGGCTAGAATTATACATGAACTTCTAGTTAACCCAAAGCCCATTCTTTCTTAAGAATGAGGTCACTGAATTTCGAACTAGCCACTGCTTTAATCTACCCCCCCACCATCACCACCACAAAACTCCATCACTGCCCCTCAGACATCTACTCTAATGCTGTGACACTATGTGCTTTCTTGTGACTTTTCAGGAAAGTGAGACAATTTGTGGGATTGATTTAGTGTAGTCAAGGAGTATAGGCTATTAATTGACATGGTGGATATTCTGAAGTGTGGTGGTGCCATAGGTGACTAAGGTAATTCAAAGAGAGACTTTTGTTTGCTAGTTACCTAAACCCCAGCAATACTATTTCTGGCTTCTTAATTTCTTTATTGAACATGCTATTTGTGTGTAAAATGGTTAGATGTTTTGAAATTGAGGGACAAACCTTGAAGCCAAAAAAATAATTTTCTTGAAACAAGAAATGTAGCCTGGAAAACTTGCATCTGAATTACGTGCCTCCATAACCCAACACTGCCCTCCACACCTACCCATGATCCACTGCATAACCATCACCTCACTGCCATCTCCATCACCCAACACCACCATCCCATCACAGTCAACGCTAAACCTCCCCACCCTTACCTTTGTCTCAACCATTTCTTCTTACCTTTTAAAAAAAAAAACATTTCTGCTGTCATCACCACTGCCATTGCTAATGCACCATCACCATCACCATCACCTTTTCCATCACACCACTGTCGCCACTGCAACCACAACACTACATTGACGCTGTCATCACAGTAAGGGTTTGCCACTACCACTTCCCACCATCCTCCCCTTTTGTATCATTACTTCTGTTACTTCTGATGATTTATTTAACTCTATCTAGTCACAATGAACAATCGCTTATTTTTATCTGCCATATCATCATTAAGAAGTAAAAGATGATTTTCTATTTTAAAGTATAAGAATTTGTATTTTAGCATTTGCCTGAGCATTAATGCCTATGCTTTCACACTATCAATCAATAATCTTGCTATAATGTATGCCTAGATCCTAGGCGGGGCAATAGGGTGTTTCGCTAGGTGATTTCGGGGGTGTGTTGGCCATGCTGCTTAATTATACTTCATACATGCTTGATAATTGCTTTGTGCTCATCAAAATTGAGAATTATGTAATTATCACTCTTTATTTGCATAAATATCCTTAACTTTTTATGAACAGGTTTTGTATTATGACTCTGATCTTGGTGGAGAACCAGTAAATTTCCGTGATGTTTTTCTTTACAGCCAAGCTCTTGAAGGGATGACATTGTCTATGGTAAGTTGAACAAATCTCAATGATTTTTGTGGCTCCCTTGATCTTCTTTAAGTTTCCTAGTAATTTCTGCCTATAGCTTTGCATTAATCATTATTCGCCTCTGTGTGTGTGTGTGTGATAAGCTTGAAGCGATCTACCATATAGAGTTGGGATCTACAAGTTTTTGATTGATGTGAGAGAAATGTTTATATCATTCTTATAGTATTCCTACAATATTGTGGGACACTTCATTTAAGTCTTGACAGAAATTAGACAGTTCTAAATATCTCTTGCTGTAGCATTTACATGGTCTGATTTTCTTGATTCCATTATGACGTTGTATGATAGCTACAATGATGATGAATATTTAGGCTACAATATCTAAGGGCTAAAAGTATTGCGAGATTAACCTTTTGGTGGATCCTTAAAAGAGAATATAGCAATATGTAACTCAAACCACTTGTAGATGGTGCTACATGCTTTTATTTGCAAGAGGGCTTTTAATGAGTTGGTAATTGTAGGTATGGAATCTATTGAGATTTAGGCACAGAATTAGTGCAGATGATTTACTTGTAGGCTCTTTTCATTAAAAACCATTTTAGAAAAGAGCCCTGAATGCCAACAGGCCAGTGGCCTAGCGGTACCAGGCCCCTACTTCCCAAAGGGAGGTCAGGAGTTCAAGTCTCAGTGGAGGCATGTGTGTGTGAGTACCAACTAAAAAAAAAAAAGAAAAGAGCCCTGAATGCTTCAGAAGTTTGATTAACTTGTCTTCAGCCCTGGAAGCACCTTGAAGGGGAACTGTGAATCAGCTATTGGGTTACTCTTTCCATTCCTTGTCCACCTGTCCTTGTTGCTTGTTGCAGTTGGATGACTGCCAGGACACAAGGAATCTTTTCCAGAGTCAGACATTGTTGTAATCCATTTGGTATTAATGTGATTCAGTTTTTTATTTTATAAAAATACTTCTTTCTCTCTTTTGATCATTTAAAAAAAAATTAACATCAAATTTTTCTTTATTTTTTTCTTGCATTATTACTTATTAGCGTTTGTTAGGTTATTTTGATGTATTGTAAAGTATTAGCCCTGACATGCCTTCAGTTATTACTCATTAGCGTTTGTTAGGTTATTTTGATGTATTGTAAGGTATTAGCGCTGACATGTCTTCAGTTATTCTCCCTGCCCTTTCTTTTTAAATTTATAAATTGATAGAGCTATTGTCTTTGCTCTATTAAATCACATCAATGCTAAAATATGCAAGACGACATATTTTGGGTCTTTCAGGCGCACAGTTGATTATTAAATCATTATTTTTAACTTTATAGAAAGATATTTGGATGTTTTGATTTGTTATAGATGACTCAGACTTAGTTACATTGTTGTTCTTCTATTCTCCACTGATCGTGGCTTAATTTATTTTTGAAAGCGACTGAAAATTTATACAAAGCCCAAAGGAATCATGGGGACACATTAATGACAATACTATTTCCCATAACAATGAACTCATAAAAAGGAACCTTAATTGCTCTATTATACTCTATTCGGGAGATTGGTATTTCCCTAAGTAATTTTTGCAACTTCAGCTGTAATAGAGCAATTCAGAAATCATTGCAGCCTAGTCGCCCAGTGACCTTTCTTAAACTTAATCCAAGGATGTCAACTTCATGGGGACTCCTACATTTGATGCAGAAATCATCTCTACGTTCCTTGAATTCTTTTGCCATTCTCTAGTTAAATATATTGTTTGCTTTTGTACTTGCTGATCCATGGAGGTTAACCGCAGGTTAACTCTTTTGTCTGACTCAGATTCTCGAAGCACCAGATGAGGAAGAAGTTTCTCTGATAATGGAGATATTTGGGTGATTCTTCTTACACTTTAGTTTTTTTTTTTTTTTTTGGATAATGCTTTATTACAGCTTCTAAATGCTCAACATAATAAATTGAGATAGAAGGATTAGTTAATAAATAAAAGAAACATTTCTTCGCTGGATTTTCTCATTTTTTCACTCTTCTCAGTGGAAAAATTAATTAATTTCTTAAATTCCACTAAAAAATTTCCTGCTTTGGTTTTTATTAGGCTATGTCTCACTGGAGGAAAGGAAGTCCATAATGCATTAGTTAGCAGCATACAAGATCTGTCAAAAGCTTTCTCTAGCTACCAAGATGAAGTACTGGTAAGGACATTATGCAAATGCCTTTCGCTTGAAGCATCTGGATGGTTTGGATGATGTTGCAACTGAATATTTTCAAGTTCTTTTTTTAGATTTTTTCCCATCAATAGTTCCACCCTTCTAATATTTCAGGTAAAGAGGGAAGAATTGCTCCAATATGCTCAAGGTGCAATTGCAGGGCTGAAAGTACATGCTGAAATTGCAAGGTTGTTAAGAAATACATATTTAATTGCTTCTTGAGGCAGGCCTTGAAATATAAACATTTTTGTGGTTTTATGTACTAGATTCACTCAGCTATGTGTTTGCATGCGCCTTTACAGGGAGTAGGTTTTTTTTTTTTTTTTTTTTTTTGGTGTGTGTGTCCGATTGTTGAGCTGGTAATTCTCTTTATTTCATTTTCTGATGTGCTCTGAGTACACAAATACTTTGAAATTGGTGGTTTTATTCTTTCTTAAACTTTTGAAGTTTTGAAATTTTCAAGTTTGACATTCCAATTGCTCTTTATTTAATCATTGTAGTTCCAACCTTAATTGTTGTTTTCAATATTTAATATAATCAATTTCGTAAAAACATCTTGTACTTTATAATTATTCTTTTGTTACTGCTCTACCTTCAATTGTATGTTTTTTTTATTTTTTATTTTTATTAATTGCACACTGTTAGTGTTCTCCATCTTGGATTATATGTTTTTTTAACTTTGAATTTCCTAGCATATTAATGCTGCCATCATTAACTACAAATTTTGTTTTTGTATTTGTATCTTGGGTTTGCATGTGTTTTTGTCTCTTCATTTGCACTGTTTGTGTGATATGTTTATGTTATCATTTATCAATATCCTTACTGCTATTCATTTACAATTTTAGACTGATTTAGTTTTAAATTATGCTGTTATCTACACTTCAAATTTGTTCAAGTCAAGTCTTCACATTATGCAGTGATGAATCCCCTTTTAAATTTAAATGGAAGTATGTAAAGTTGAATTTTTACAGAAGAACTTTAAGCAATGTATTACATAAGAAATTAAAATTGTCAAAAGAGAAAATAACAAACAACTCTGAAAGTAGGATTGTGGGAGATACAAACTATAATGCACTTCTATTTGAAATTATGTTTTTGATTTTTTTGCGAATAATGACAAACTATTGGAATCTTGATTAGTGCATGGTTACTGCACTTCTACTTTCATGTTTGTTGAAAAAAAATGCTTTATCATGTTCAATATACCTCCCCTGAAATAGATTCTTGGCTCCGTTACTGTTTTTATTGAGGCTATCATGCATCGCTAAACTGTTTGAGGCTAATTAAATTAAAACAATGAAAAACAGCGGGACGCTGCCTAATGTAGCATAGATAATGAGGCTGTCATGCATCACTTTCAAAATCTGTAGACCCGTCGAGGACAGTTGTAATTTTATTCAATGGAAATATTTCCAATAGATATTTTGGTTCTTATATTTGTCAAGTATCTATCTTTCTTATACTACTCCTTGATTAGCATATTATTTTGCAATGGTCCCCCCCTCTTTTGATTCGAACAACCTTTATTTGTCATGTTAGTTGATTTTTTTATTAAGTACACTGCAGCCCCCGGAAATGAAATCCTGGCTCTGTCACTGTCTGAAAGTAGGTTCTTGGGAGGTACAAACTATAACGCACTTGCACTAAAAGAAGTAAGCCTTGTTCATTTCTAATTTTACACCTAGTTGGGTATTACCCATTCTCAAACTTTAGAAAATTCTTTTTGGCTGTCCTGTTATAAAGTCTTATTTTAAAAGTGGTAAATGTAATTAGTAGTGCTCTTTGAATACCTTTAAATATCTTAGTTGGGAAATCAAGCTTTCTCCTGACTATCAAAGTACACTGTTATCTTTTATTAGCATGAACTTTATGCTTCCAATTGGTGCACAGTTCAGATTGGAACCATGTGCATGTATTTATTTTGCGCAAGTGGTAAAGTAAAATTTTAATTCTTTTCCTTCTTTGTGATCTGCTCTCAGAATAGATTCTGAAGTCTCAAATATACATAAGACCCTAGATGGAATAAAAACCAGGCTGCCTCCAAGTGAAGGTCGTGAAAAATCATCTGAAGAATCTACTTTTGCAACAGTAGAGGTCAGATCGACTTTAATGCTTGCTTGATTATCTTATGCCAGTAAACATTTCATAATGTCTGATAGCAAGACGATGTAGAGGCACTATTTGTGGTTTGAGGAAAGCCTCAACATGACTGTGATGTTTTAGGTTTTCATCGTTTTTTTATATATAATAAGAGACACATGAAATTGCTGTTTTGACTGGAATGTATCCACTGCATGCATTCTTTTTCTGTCCATTATGAAGGTCTAAAGGTTATCGAAGTTCTACCATTGATCACTTGGTTAAATTTTAATCAAGTTTATGGATCCCTAAGTCTATATATATCATATTGATGTTCAATTTTTTGACCCCACAACCATAAAATGTCCCACGTATAACTTCCATAAACTCTTTTGCTTAGTGATGGTATTTTGACTAAATTTTTTGATAAACTAACTCTGTTGATTACATAACATGCAACTAGCTCTGGCCGGCACAAGAAAGAAGTAACTAATTTGAATTAGTACTTTTAAGAATAAAATAAGAGGTATAATTACTCCAAAGTAAAATGTTTTCAATATATTCATCAATTTGAGAACAGTATGGCCATTGTTTATTGCATTAGTAAAAGCTTAGGTTGTCATGAGAATATGGGTTTGAGACCAAAGTAGCCACTTTGTGTGAATAAAGTCTATATTTGGTCTGTACCTAATTCTCCTTCCAAACATGCTACATGTACAAAGAGAACACTAAGAATGACTTTGTACTAATATAGGTTCTAAACCTCTATTCTTCGTACTTTTTTTTTTCCTCCTTTAATTGATGATGATAAGAATCTAATGCTTGACGCCACCCCTCTCTTTTGGATGTCATGCCAACACATAAACTAGGACTGATAGTCACTTTTCTGATATTGTCCGATGAGAGATGGCCGAGGTGGGAGTCCGACTGGAATCCATTTCGTTCTTCTCCTAGCTTCCATCCCTTTTCCTTGCTAGACACGGTTTTCGTCTAGCTGCCCATAGAATACATTCTTATCTAGCCTAGCCCACTGCCAAACCTTCCGTTTTCTGCTGGCAGTGAAATTTGTCGTCATTATTCTCATGTTTATCTCAAATGAATGAGCAGGTAATTTCTTGATGTCATCAATTTCTTATTATTACTTGTGAGAGAGGAGAGGAATCAAAATCCTCTCTAGTACTATGGTACACTGAGGTGCAGATTTCTCCTTGTGTATTTTGAAATTTCACCACTGCAGTGGTGAATTTCATCAGGACAAAAATTTCACCAGTTTTACTGCTGGAATTCCACTAGAGACTTTACTGTATTTACTTTGAAATTTCACTACTACAGTGAACACGGTAATTTCATCACTATAAACTTGTAGTGACTGGTGAAATTCACCACTATGAACTTATAATTTCATAACGCCACTCCTCTTTTAGATGGCATGCCAAAACATAAACTACTATGTTAGAGCAGCTCTAACTTTTTATATGATTGATAAACATTAAACACTATCACAAAAGTTTCTCTATGGAAAACATCCAATTGTTTGAGTGTAAAGGGTTCTTTGTCCCCTTGCTATGGTTCCATCTTAGAAGCCTGCAGTTATTAGTAAATATTGAGGCATCTGCATTGAACTACATGGGAATTGCTGGGTTTCACGAGACTACAACTACATAATTTGATCTTAGTTCTAAATGAAAGCTAGAATTAAAACCAAATATACCATTTCAACCCTTTATTTTTTAATAAATTATCACTAGAGGGTATATAAAGGGTATTTCTTGCTTATGTGTTCAATAAACATCCTGATGATTTACGATTTCAAGGTTTCAAATTATGTGATCCTTATGTCAGTGTGCCATGTTTATCTTACTATTCACTCGCTGTTGATTGTTCAGAGATAATATGCCACGTATTGGGAAAGTTATTTCTGTCACTATTAAAACCTTGCTTTCTGGGGCTACTACGAAAGCACTTGAAATTTTCAAGGAAGCAAATCCCTAATTACAAATTTCATTCTTTAAATATAGCAGTGATAATGCAAAGAATCCCCATATCTTGGTCGTATTTCTTATAGAATTCATAAATGGTCAATACTCAACTCAATAAAGCCATTTCAGAAGTATTTGAAGTCCCCTACATGAGTCCTGTTTTGCCCCCATCCTACTCCAACCATTGTCATAATCTCAGTTAACCCACATAATTATACCTTCCTTGCTATCTTACCTGTGTTAGTTTTAATCTTTTCCTTTCTCTAAGATTTACTTCAACGTGGATTACATCGACCTACCTAATGTTGTTAATGGTTTTCTTCGTACATAGCCAAACTATCTTAATCAGTTTTGCTCATGTTATCCCCATTCAGGATTTTTTTTTATTTTTTATCCTTACTTGTCTTGGCACACATTTGTTTCAATATTTGCATTTTGACCATGCTTTTTTTATGAATATGTTTTCTTCTATGCTTAAAATTTCGTTCTATAGAGTATGGCTAATCTAATGAATATCATATAGTTTATCTTTCAATTTTAGAGGCATACATCAACCACACATATGCCAGAAGCACTTATCTCCATTTAAGCATCCTTGCTTTAACTTCATGATTAACATCTTTTCTAATTTCTCTCTTTATAAATAATCAAGTTTATGTAGTGGAATTATTTGCCTTTCAGCATTCCCTTATCCCTCAATTTTCACCACGTTCCCGCTTGTACTTCTAGTTTTAGTTTACATTTCATATATTTAGTTTTAGTGCTGATTATCATAGCCCCTCTCTAGACTTTTAATTTAGCATCTATCCTTGCTTTGATTTCTTTATATCTCATGCCTAAGTTTGCACTCAAGCAATGACACTTGAGCAGAACTTCAGTGTTGGGTGATACCCTTTCTTCCTACAGGCTCTGAAAGAAGCACTTGCACAAATTCAACTCTGTTCCAAGTTGGAGGAGATTTTACTGAAGAAGAAATTTTTAAAGAATGGAGATTCTCCAGAAATTCATGCTCAAAAGGTATGGTTCCTTCATTAGATTATTTCTTTCCTTTGGTATGTTTGATAAACCATACTCTGTACATCAATATCAATTTCCAAATCGTGCCCGTGCCCAAATTGAGCTAAGGTTGGTTCTAACTCCTTAACCTTGCTGAAGCAAAGTGTTTTTACAACCAAAACAAACCAACTTCATGTCAGATTAGGTTAATCATTTCTCTCCATGCCTGAATTAAATTTGGAAAATCAAACATTGAGTTGTAAGAAGATTTCCTAATTATTTATCTCTATTCTTGGTTCCAATTCACCCCCCCACCCCCCCCCCCCCCCCCCCCCCCCCCCCCCCCCCCCCTTCCTTTTTCTTCTTTCTGTCTTTTTTTTTTAGGTAAGTTACTATTCTTGGTTTTCTGTTAAGAAGCATAGACACGCCTAAAAGGTCGGACATGGACACGCCAAAAAACGTGTCTGAATATTTTTCTTCTTGGACATGCTGTGAACACGCAACAGACACGTCAACACACTGCGGACGCGCATATATGATTAAAAGATAATTTTGCAACACATTGCGGACAAGTATATATGATTAAAAGAGAATTTCTGCAAATTTTCAAAAAGAATGCTTTAAATATAAATTACGTTGACATTTTTGAAATTATCTGTAATATGGGTTTCAAAAGACAAAAATAAAGTGAACGTTTTCATTATTTAGGCTCAATTATCCATAATGAAGGATAAATTGGAGATGATAGCAATCAAAGAATTAATGCAAGATGGGTTAAATGGAGGAGTGATTGTAGTATTATAGAACAACTATTAGACCAGCCATACTCTATGGAACATAGAGTTGGCAAGTAGGAACATATGTATAAAGCAAGTATGGCAGAAATGAGAATGTTGGGATGATTGTGCGGCAAGACAAGAAAAGATAGAAATAGAAATGAACACGTTCGTGAGATGATTGAAGTTGCACCAATTGGATATAAAATGAGAGAAATCTTACATTTGTACAGAAGACCTTTAAGTGTGTCGGCTAGGACGAGTGGCATGGTCCATGTTGAAAGATTAAAATATTAAAGTTACACCCTCTCTAAGAGCTTAATCTTTTAGAGTAGATGGTAGTTAACAGTTCACATCGAGGGTAAAGCTAGGGGAAGGGGAGAACTAAGTTAACACGGGTAGAGTTAGTAAGGAAGGATATGATAACATGTGGTTTGACTGATACTATTACCTTAAATAGAGCGGAATGGAAGAATATGATTCATTAGTTAACCCCAAGTAGTTGGGAAAAGGATTTGTTTGTTTGTTGTGGTTTGTAGTACAATGAAAGTAGTATTATGTTAAAATGAAAGAGAGTTTATATTCGATACAGGTGGTCCTAATCTTTTATCTGAAAGTTGTTAGTTTTTGGTTCTATTCCTTGCTTACTTTAAACTGGTTCAATTAATATGCAGGTTTGGTTCTATTCCTTGCTTACTTGAACCTGGTTCAATTAATATGCAGGTTGATAAATTGAAAATTCTATCAGAATCTCTTTCTAACTCTGCCTCAAAAGCTGAAAAGCGCATTTCGGACCACAGGTTTAGTTACTTTCATCTTGTTTTGTGTTTGTGTGTGTCTGTCTGATGCGTGCATGCATGCATTTGTGTATGTGCATTTTTATTTTTTTTGTGTGTGTGTTTGGGTGCACATGTTAGCATTTTCCACCTTGCTTCCTTATTAGCTACAGCTTACAGGAATTACTGAGATTTGTAGTAATTCAGAGTGGATAAATGCTTTTTTTTTTCTTTCCATACATTTGTTCAAATTTGCTACATGTTTTATATGCTAGAAAGGTTTATTTATCCTATTATTCCATGCTTATTGTATACACAATAACTCATGTAAAAACATATTTTCTTTTTCCTTCCAAGTTTTTAAAAAACAAAAAAGAAAAGGAAATAGAAAGGAAAACAGAATCAATTTAACAAGTTACAAAAACTGTTAAGATAAGTTGGTTCTATAAATTGAACTGGTTTTATTTCATTTTTACTTATTTCCATTATATTTTAGTTTTGATGAAATAAACTCAACTAGTGCTTGATTCAGATCAAAATGCCAATTTGGTTTGGTTTTTTATTACACCTCTTAAAAACTAAAAATGGTGAACTTTTGGCTTGTCCTGATTGAGTATTATCTTCAGTTTCCAAAGGAATGTTCTCTTTTGAAAATTAATTTTCTTGTATATCCAAAACGTAAATATTTAAATAATGCGTTTCGTATTCTTCTCACCCATCTCATCAACAGATATCAAAAAGAAGAAGCACTCAACTTTCGTGTAACCAGAGCAACTGAAGTCAGTCAACTTGAAAAGGTAAACTTGCCCCAAGAGTGGTAGTTTCATTTCCTTTTGGGGAAATCTGTCAAACCACCACATGAAATCAGTTAATGGAGACATTGTCTCATGGAGAATAATTAGAATGGATGACTATAGGTATATGATTTTCTTTTAAGGGACTTCATTTTACAACTATCATAACTACTATAATGATGGTGATGGTGGCAAGGAACTTCTTTTTGTTGCATACAGATTTTATGTTCAATAAGTTGCTTATGCTGTCACATTGCTTTTTTCTTGTTATTTGTGTAATATCTTTTTTCTCCTTGTTTACTATCTTGATGCTTTGACTTGATGCAATGACTTTATGTCAATTTCTTTTCTGGTACGTTTCTCGGTGTCAAATTATTACACAAGTTTTGAAATATTTGTCACCCTTATCTGGGTGTAATCCTGCATCACTCCAGTTTAATGTTTTTAATGAGTTGTTTTTTATATTCAAAAAAAAAAAAAAAACTGATTTTTAAAATATTGCTCATGATTTCTAGTCATTTTCTTGTAAATTTGGGATATGAATTAAGATGTACTGCTTCCCATGGTTTCACATCTGTATACTGCTACTGTTTAAAGTGGTTGCTTCAATTGGAATTTTCTATCTTCTTGCTCTTGGTTTTGTCAATATATATATATATATATATATATATATATTGGAAATGGGGAACCCTTCCAACCACTGGCCCTTTGGACTTATGGCTGCAAGGTAAACCTTGGATGTGTGCCTGTCTTGTGATCCATTTTGTTAATGAGAACTTATAAATGCCTGAAGTATGGCAGCATTTTCCAGGATTTGGCAGCTGAAATTGGAGTGCTTGAAAAGCGAAAAGAAGAGCTTGAAGCTGAATTGAAAAAGGTAATTCTTTAATAAGGTTCACCCCTCCTTCACCTACCATGGTAACATTCAGAACACTCATTAGGAGATACAGTCTTGTCAAATCAGGTTCAACCACATATCCAGATCTACCTATTTTTTCATTTGCCTTGCTTGCATTCTGTATTACCTGGCCTCATGTACATAGGTTAATTTCCATTTTAACTTTACCTTATTAGTACATGGACACTTCAGTACATGTTTAGTGTTGGAACTAGGGATTGCAAAGTACCCCGCCTTGTCGGGTACCCGCCCCATTTAGAACGGTTATGGGGGTGATTAAATGGTTTTGGGGTGGAGATGGGGGTTACGATTGAAAACCATGGTTATGGAGCGGGGATGGGGAAAGGTCACCCCGTCTGCCCCTCCCCGTTTATAGTGATAAATTACAATTTTGTACTTGTACTTTGTTTTATATTCAATAATATGAGGTATATATTAAACAAATCCTAGTTTATTCTATTCCAGTCACTAAATATCATTTTGTATTATTCATATTTGAGAACTTCTATGTATTATTTTGATATTCCTACAATAATATTATGTCTAAAGTTTCAATTGAGAAGTTGAATCTTTTTTTTATCCGCATAGGAGAAAAAGAATTATTACCATAGTTGAAAATTTATTTCATTATTTACTTCCGTTAGATTCGTAATACAATTACGAAAGTACTCTACAAAACCCGTTCCTGCCCCGCCCCGCCCCTCACCGCCAAGTTTAATAAACGGTTTTGGGGCGGGGATGGGGATGGCATTCCCTGCCCCCAAACCACCCCATTGCCATCCCTAGTTGGAACACAACAGAACATGGGTATGGGCATGGGTTGTGTGTGCGGATATTTCTACTGAAAACTTCCCTAAAGGGAATAAACTTGCCGAGTTCACTTGAAGCTTCTTAGATACCTTCTAAAGTTGTTCCTTTGTTACATAATATACTATATGTGTGTAATTACCCATTTCTCAGTGCACAATTTGGTCTATAAACTTCATTTTCCTAAGTTTGAAGGTGAAGTAAAATTCGCATGGTAAAAATATGGCCATGTCCTGTGTACTAAGGTTTAGGGATTTGTTCAGTCCAACTCCTAGACATAAATATGCCTTTACTGTGTATCTGAGTTACATAAGTTTTACCCATTCTTTCATTTACATTATCTGCCAGTAGTGGCAGTATACAGGTGTGTGAATGGCTGTTTGGGATGAGGAGTTAGGAGTGTGTGATGGCAGTATCACAGGATCCCTCTAGCTTAGATGCTATCTCCTACCCTTAATTGAGGGAATGATCATGGTCCAAATCTTGGTAAAGAGATATGGGACGGGGATCTATGGTTGTGAGGCCAATGCAGTTGGACCAAAAACAAAAGGAAACGAATAACTGTAGTAGCAATATCATATGGTGATGCTTGTGGGATCAGAAGTTGTAGTGGTGGCTGCAATGGCATAAAATTCTAGTAATTTAGCTACTATTTATCTTTCCTTAAAATTTTCTTGCAACATCAATGCAAAGGAAGTGCTCTGCTTGGCTTCTTGAAGAGGTGAAATTAATTTAATGAAGAATATGGAATTCTATTGAGGTTTTTAACTTCCTTTCATTCTCCAACTTGTTTAAAACTTCTTTGTCAGGTGAAATTAATTTAAAGAAAATGGAATGATGCGGAGGGTTACAACTTCCTTTTACATCCCAAAATATTTAAAATACGATGTCAACTTGAATCTGTGTTCTGTAAGATGGAATTAATTTCTTCTTTGGTAGGTAAATCACACACACACACTCACACTCATTTGTCCCACTGGAAACCTCAAACATCCATTTGGAAGCAGGAGGAGGTATTAATTGTATGGACACTCAAACATCCATTAATGTGCCCAGAACCCGGAACTTCTATATCCATCTCATATGATTTACAAATAACATTATTCATGTTTTACTGGCATGACAATTTTGGTGGTTAGAAAGTGCTTCATCATTTTTAGGAGAAGGAAAAGAAATTTACGGCATTCCCACAAAGTTGAAGAATCTGAGCTCTTAAGGCTTCTTAAAAATTGTGCAAATGATGTATCTGTTGACATGGTGAGTAAAGAATATTATGTCAATGACGCTGAGTGGCTGGTGTAGGTAAATACCTCGTTGGCTACTGCACGTGCACGTCTTCGTAATGCCAGGGAAGAAAGAGAGCAGTTTGACAATGCAAGTAATGAGATTCTTGAACACTTCGAGACAAAGGTAGGATAGTGTTTTCCCTTACTCTGGGTATAGTTTGGCATACTTCACACCGTTGTCTCTTTCCACACACAGAGTGGGGACCTTTTTTATGAATTGATATGAAATTTTTTTTTTCCCCAACAATGTTGATGTTGTAGGAAGATGAGCTGGCCAGATCTGTTGCCTCATATAGAGCAGAATCCGATGTTTGCAATGCTTTAATTAATTTTCTGGAAGATACGTGGGGTTTCCAAATCTCATACACAGAGCATAAAGAGAAGCAGATCAGGTATGGACTTATTCTTTGTGCTTTTCTGGCTTGTTTCTCATGTAAATCTCATTCTATTATGCCTTTCAAGATTTGTCTACCCATATTAGGTCCATTGCTTTGTATCACATGAGTAATTTGAATTTAATGATTTTATTTTACATGTTCAAGTGATGAATGGGAGAGACACGAAGACTATTTTGTGAACTTGGCTATTCATCTTTTATCTACTTACAAGGTACATTCACTAGCTGCCATATAGAATGATGAAGTTGTATAATATTTACTTTTCACCTAATTCTCAACACAACTCTTTATTCTCAACTACTTGGTTTCAATTACATGGATCCAGTTGGTTCTTTGCAAAGGATACCCTCAGTTATATCCTGGGAATTTTATGTTGCTTCTCCCAGCTTTCTTCTTCTTGTTACTTTGGCACTATGATTTGGATCAAATCATCTCCATGTCAGTGCATTAGGTGGTGTGTGTTAAATATAAACAAACTATCTAAGACGACTTTACCTCAATTTATCTCAAGTTGGTGCCACTCATATATCTCAACATCCTCTTTTCTTAAATCGCATTTCTCAACTTCTCAACATCTTTTACCACAGTATAGCTATCCTTATAGATATAGTTTATATTATAGAACTTCCCTTTTTGCTTGATCAAAATTGTTGGGTCAACCATACTCTAATTATATGGGAAACATCCTTTTCAATTTTCCTTTCGTTATGTTGCAATTTATATTTTATAGTTTTTTATCGGCGTTGTTATGTTCATCTCTTATCAGGAAGAGTTGGGGCCTTCTGTCACCAGTATGAGGAAACTTGTGGAGAACTTGAATTCAAGTCAAGGGTATTGAACATAGTTTTTTGAAATGGTTAATCTCAAATATGAACCACACTTCTAATTATTGGCTGGCCAGGTCAGAGAGAGAGTCCGGTGTAAGTGATGAAAATTCACAACCAACCAACCCCAGGAGAAATCTTGAAGGAGAATACTTGGACTCTGAAGCCAAGGTATGGATTGTCTTCCATACTGGATAATCTTCATAGTCAAATAATGTAATTATGTCAAACTCTTAAACTGCAAAGCTACGAATATCTTGTTTCACATTGAAGTCTATATCAAGCTGATACCTTTCTTTACTTTATACAGGTCTTATATCTTAATAGGCATCAAGTTTTGAATATGTTTGTTTTTCTGATTTGTTTGTTTGTTTTTTGTTGTTATGTATCATTATTATTTACTTAAAGCATTCTTGATTGAGGTTTGTAGGTCTGCACAATTTTGATCATCAATTAACATAAACATTGAAGATATCATTCTTTGCTGTTTCTGTTGTATTGTTCAGATTATAACCACCTTCAGTATAGTGGAAAGCCTCAAGAAGCAATTCTACACTAAAAACGGAGATATGTCCAGGTGAGGCGATTTCATTACCTTTGTTTCTTTCCTTTCTCATTTTCATTTATTTATTTATCTCTTTGTAGCTAGTAGTTATTGTCTGTAATATATGCTTCACTCCTTAAAATGGAAACATGGTACACTGACCAGGAAAGTTGATCAAAGGGTCGAAGAGTTATTTGATTCTCTTGAAAAAATCAAAAATGAATTTGAATCCATTGAGAGACCAGTGTTGGAAATTGAGACCACGTCACGACGGGCAGAGACACCATCAAAAGAGAGGCCCCCAAAAAGTCCATCTTCTACCTCTAAAGAGGCCGGAAAAGAGAAATATGTACCCATTGGGGGACAAAGTATGGAAATTGAGACTCCACCTCAAAGAGCCGAGACACCATTTCAAGAGAGGCTCCAAAATACTTTGCCTCCTAGTCTCAAACAGGTCGCAGAGACAACAGAAGACAAAAAAGATGAATTTTCCGAGCTACCTGTGAGTAAAGGACCATCTCAAGTGACGCCCCAAAATACTTCATCTCCTAGTATCAAACTGATCACTGAGACAACAGAAGGCAAAAAAGATGGATTTTCTGAGCTACCTGTGAGTAAAGGACCATCTCAAGAGAGGCCCCAAAATACTTCATCTCCTAGTCCCAAACAGATCACTAAGACAATAGAAGGCAATAAAGGTGAATTTTCCGAGCTTCCTATGAGTAAAGGACCATCTCGAGAGAGGCCCCAAAATATTTCATCCCCTAGTCCCAAACAGATCACTAACATAACAGAAGACAAAAAAGATGAATTTACTGAGCTTCCTATGATTAAAGGATTATCTCAAGAGAGACCCCAAGATACTTCATCTCCTAGTCCAAAACAGATCACTAAGACAACAGAAGGCAAAAAAGATGAATTTTCCAATCTTCATGTGAGTAAGGGAGAAGAAGGACCATCTCAAGAGAGACCCCAAAATATTTCATCTCCTAGTCCCAAACAGATCATTGAGACAACAGAAGGCCAAAAAGATGAATATTCCGAGCTTAATGTGAGTAAGGGAGAAGGATCATCTCAAGCCCAAAATATTTCATCCCCTATACCCAAACAGACCATTGAGACAACAGAAGGCAAAAAAGATGAATTTTCAGAGCAACCTGTGAGTAAGGGAGAAGGACCATCTCAAGAGAGGCCCCAAAATATTTCATCTCCTAGTCCCAAAGAGACCATTGAGACAACAGAAGGCAAAAAAGACGAAGTTTCCGAGATTCCTGTGAGTAAGGGAGAAGGACCATTTCTAGAGGGGCCCCAAAATACTTCATCCCCTATATCCAAACAGACCATTGAGACAATAGAAGGCAAAAAGGATGAATTTTCCGAGCTTCCTGTGAGTAAGGGAGAAGGATCATCACAAGAGAGGCCCCAAAATACTTCATCCCCTATATTCAAACAGATCAGTGAGACAACAGAGGGCAAAAAAGATGAATTTTCCGATTTTCCTATGAGTAAAGGACCATCTCAAGAGAGGCCCCAAAATACTTCATCTCCTAGTCACAAACAGATCAGTGAGACAACAATAGAGAAAAAGCTTCCGGTGTGTAAGGAAGAAGGGACATTGGATTTGGAGGCAGAATTTTCAAAGCCGGGGTCTAAAGATGAGAAGCACAGCATAGATTACTCAAAAGAGGAGATTGAATGCTGGGAATTTGATGAACTTGAAAAAGAGCTGAAAAACAGCGATTCATCTAATGCTCAAGAAAATAAACCAAAATCTGATGAACTTAAAAAGGAGCTGAAAGACGGTGATTCATCTAATCCTCGAGAAAAAAAACCAAAATCTGATGAGCTTGAAAAGGAGCTGAAAGAGAGTGATTCATCTAATGCTCAAAAAGATAAACCAAAGCTTCCCCCTGGTGATTCAAACACCTCTTAAAGTGACATAAATTTTTGACACCATAAGATGTAATTATTAAACATAGTAACTTCCCAAAAACTGCATTTTAGTACTTTGGTTTAAGGAATTGGTAGTAGAGCTCAGATCAATTTAAACAGGTAAATATTTTTCGGAGACTTGTAGCATGGATACAATGGAACCTATAAACCTTTCATTTCTCTCTTTTATTTTATTTTATTTTATTTTGAGAGATACTACATCTCTCTCATATTGGATCCACCTGCTCTTATTGTCTAGAATGTATGGGCTTACTGGTCTAATCTACATGATCCTTTATCCATTCCACCCTTAAAAACCAGCTTTATTAATAAAGTGGGATGTTATCATGTTAAGATGAAAACGGTTATTGAGGAGATCTTTACTTGTGTTTATGAATTTGTGTGTCTGCCCCATGGATTTGGGATTTATTTCATCTGTGCATGGCCCTTCCTATCTATCTAACCTGAACCGATCTTAGCTTAGCTGTATCATAAATTCCAAGTTTGGGTTCGTGAAAAAAGGATCTAATTGTTTTAGTGTTGATAATTGATTTCTTCTAGCGTAATACTAATCGACAGGGGCTTGGTTGGTAAGTGCTATCTGACATTTAAATAGCTGGGAAAGTATTTCTTAGAAAGGAACTTGTGCCATTGCAGTTCTCAGTAACTACTAGTAGTGTGTAGTATTGCATTATGAGTGAAAGTGAACTACACAACCACAGAGTTGTACCATCCTTTTAAAAGTGTGTCAGATGAGTGCCATGCCATGTGATCAATCTGACGTGGATTAGTATAATAGGGGTGTACTGTCCAGAGGTATGTCGCCTCCAGTTTTGAATTCTAATGAAAGCAGACCACCATTTTTCTGCAAAATACAATGTTGGGGATCTATATTCTTGTTCTAATACAATCCAGTCCAAATCCACAAGGATTTAACTAATTACATCGGCAGAGATATGGTTGAATCCCAGACTTTAATTAGAGTAGCTGTTCATGAGTTAGACCTAAAAGTCCGCCACTCGTGTGTTATCACTTTAAACACATTTGTAAAGAATAAGAGTCATTTCACTAGCGTTTTAAAGTACTTTAACATTGTTCAATACATATATGTACATAGAGAGAGTTACAAACTTACAAGGAAATAGAAACAAAAGCCCTCGAGCTTGGAATGCATCTCTTTCCATTCGTCAATGTTTAATTGTCCACCCTACCATGAAAAGTTGAGCCCTATGGTGGTTACTACTCAGAGCAAAAATTCATAAAAAGAGTAAAAGGGTAGATAAAAAAAGATGCCCACGGGGCCACGCTTTGACCAAGTCAAATGACGGGACCCATCTATCTCTCTCTCTCTCTCTCTCTCTCTCTCTATATATATATATATATATCTTGTAATAGTAGTAATGGATTATAGAATTGAAAAAATCCAGATTTTGAGAAATGGGCTGAACTTTGGTGGCAGAGAAGTTGTGGTTGTTGCAGGGAAACGCCAGAATCATTTACTTTTAGTTAGTTTTAACTCCCACTCTTAACAAATTGAGCTACTTTTGGACGGACGTGGATGGATGTCTCAATAAGCATTGAGGATTTCCATGCAGATATAGTATTATATTATACTAATCATTAAAATAAAATGCATTAACATATTAAAATGCATTCCATCTGTAATTTTCCATTCCTTGAATGGATATTAATTTGAAAATAAACACAGCTAAACTGACCAATTAATGGGTTAACTGCTTAATGACATCTTACTTATACTAATTAATAGGTTAGTCATCTTAACTATCTCATTAAAATCTTTTTAGCCAAAAAAAAAAAAAGGTAAGACTAGTACTAAAAGATTAGACAATCCAATTGGGTCATATTATTTATTTACTTTTCCTTTATAAGTACAAGAAAACTTAAAGTGAGACAGAAAGATAAAATGATTTATAGAGCATTCACTGTGCCACTGATAGTACCATAATAGAATCACTATAAGTTGATTATTACTCTTAAAAAGTTTCACCTTTTGAAACCAAAAAATTGACTTTTGGGCCATCATGTAATTCAGGGAAAAAGAAAAAGGCAATGACATTCAAGCCACACAACTTATGAAAAAAAAAAAAGGTAACATTGTTTTTCCCTGAATTGTATCATTTGGAAGCATTCAAGATATCTAAAAATAAAATAAAATCTGACCATTCCTTACAATTTTATTATGCTTTTCTAACTTGGCACCATCTCTACTTTAAAGGATGCTCTGCCCTTCCTCTCCCTTCACCAAGCTCATCTCCCCATAAGCATCTTGACACAGAGAGAGAGACTCAGCTCCCCATAAGCATCTTCAGAGAGAGAGGGAGAGAGGGAGAGTGCAGTTAGTCACATGAAATGGCCACAGATCATCTTCCTCCATGCTACCATGCAGATGAAGACTACATAGATATGGAGGTAAGCTCTTCCTCCAACTTCTTCTTTGACTCCACAAACTCTCCTCCTCAAACCAGAGAATTTGAGTTCCAAATGTCTTTAAATTCCCATGAAAAAGAATCCACAACTTCACCAGCTGATGAACTCTTCTATAAAGGAAAACTCCTTCCTCTTCACCTCCCTCCTCGCCTGCAAATGGTCCAAAAACTCCTCCAAAACTCCACCACCACCACCACCACGTTTGACAACACAAAAGAGACTCTTGGAGATGACCAGTTCTACAGCATTGCCTTCATCACTACATCTACAACTTCTTCTACCAATACCAGTACCCCATTGGAGTCCTGCAACATCTCACCATCCGAGTCTCGCAGGGTCAGTAGTGAAATAAACCCTGATGAGTACTTCTTCGAATGGTCGACTGAATTGACCGATTTCATTGGCGATCGGCCAAAGAAGTTCATCAGCTGGTCCAAGAAGCTCAAGATGATTAAACAATCATCACTGCGTCAAAAGTTGAAGGCTTCGCGGGCTTATTTGAAGTCGCTTTTTAACAAGTCGGCTTGCTCAGATGAGTCCTCTGCCAAAGAAGCCTGCAATTTCGAAGCCGGTTATGTCTCCAAAGGTAAGGAGTATCTAAACAAGTACAAGAAGGTAGCAAAGAAAAACCCATTTGGACAAATCGGAAAGGGAACATACCCAACATTGGCTAATGTCCTTAACAGCATTGAAAAAGAGGCGGTTGAGGATGGTGTTAATAGCCACAGGAGATCTTTTTCAGGAGCAATCAAACGACATTCTGCAACAAAGAGCTCATCTTCATCTTCATCGGGTGCTTCTTCGTCTTCATCATCATTCTCATTTAATTCGAATGGTTTTAATGAGTCACAGTTCCTCAAGAGGAGCAGCAGCGCTAATTCGGAGATTGATTGTTCAATTGAGGGAGCAATTGCTCATTGTAAACAGTCTCAACAGCTTTTTAGCTCAAGAAAACTGGTAGGCGAAATGGAGCTTTGTTCACTGTCTGCTTCAAGGATTGCAGCTTCTGGGGATAAAGAAAGACCTGGTTTTTACAGCATTTGATGATACAAAAAGGAAAAAAAGAAAGAAAGAGAAAGGTTTCCAGAGAGAGATGATTAAAATGTATTCTCATTTCCTGTAAAGATTTTCATAATGGGTGCTATTTAGTTCCATGTGATGTTGAGGCATTTTCATATGCACAGTAATAATACAAACAATTAGACTTGAATACGTCAAGATGCTTTTTCCAGCAGGTGAACATCTTTAGATGTCACTGTGGACAAATACACATTAAATTTCCTCTTATTCAATAAATAATGTAACTGGAACTTACTCATTCGACAGAGAATTTACTGTTCTGAATTGTACTCAATGTCATCTTCTACACACAGAAAACTGACTCCATCACATGTTTGAAGTTCAATGAAGACCCTGCTAAACATAACAGACATTCTCTTAAGAAAGACATGATTTCATTTCAAAATTACACAACGTATGGCTTTTTGGGTCACAACATTAATGCAAACCACCTAAGGCTGTACTTAAGCTAAGCTAATTGTAAAGTCACTGTCTTTTCGTTAGTGACATTACTAAGCCCTCATTCAGATTCGAGTCCCTAGTGGGACAAATTAGTTTGCGAGTGTGACTTAAATACCCAAAAAAAAGGTTATTAAAATCCATGCTTAAGGGGAAAAACGAAAAAAATAATAAGAATAAGAATACAACTTTATCAAACACGTAGGGAAGAGCACGTTTTCAGGAACGCTAATCTTTCTGGTTCTGTGGGTACTGTAAAAACTAGGTCTTTTATAGACAGTAATTTTTAGTGTGTCCTCTTTCCTCCTTAATTACATTCCACAGACTACTGTGAGAAACATTGTTCTAGTGCAATAAAGTGAGGAATCATAACCAATTCATCTTTTCTCTTTACTACAGAAAAAGTAGAAGATGGATGCTAAAAGTCTGATGCACTTCATTTTATATCCCTATGTCAAGAATTGTAGTGTCTAAAAGGCTGTCCTTTAAGTCCCTATATAATCTTCCAAAGTTGAAAGTTGTAAAGAGGAACTTATACTACTAATAATTGACATGATTTTAGATGAAAAACTGAAATTTTGTTGAAGAGAGTAATGATACAGTTCAATTTCAAAAAGTTATCTAGTCTGCCTTTCCTTAAGGGACTGATTGGATTGATGGAGTTGAATAAAAAAGAAAGAAAAGGAAAAGTAGGAAAGAGAGGAACTCCTTCAAACTCCAATAGTGATTTTACTTTACTCAAAAAGTGGGAGAAAATGAAGGGAAACAATAATATTGAGTAATTATCCTTTTTGTCCTCCTTTCAAATCTTTCCCAACAAGATGAGTGGAGCTACCACTATCCTTTCCTTCTTTATCTACCCTATTTATTCATACAAGAGAAGAGATTATCAGTATCATTTTGGTTCCTTTTCTCCCTGCGCATGCAAAAGACTGTCTAGGTGAGATGAAGAAAAGGAAAAGAGGATTGTGATGTCAACCTGAAACAATTATACTCAATTATGCATTGTAGACCTAAAGATTTGATCATATATACATCATTCAAGTGAGAGTAGTTGCTCCCCGGCTTTAGCACGGATCAACTGCACAATAGCACATCTTGCAAACATGATGGATTCAAATTATCAAATTATTAAAGAATTGAATTGAACACAATAAGTCATTCCTCACCTCTTACCAAGATATATTAAAATTGTAAAGTAATCCCTTCAATCCCGGGCATCAAAAGTTAAAAAACAAAAATAAATAAATTCAATCCCCACCATCCAAATAGAAAATAGAAAGTTTAATAGTAATGCCATGCCTAAATTAGCAAGAAAACAAAATCCAATAACTTTCATGTGCAGACAAATAACCTTTTTCGACCAAACAGTTATCTGTGAAGAGATGTCATCCAGATATTTGACACAGTTCCATTAAAAAAATATCAGCAAACATACTAATAGGATGTTATTGAGCACTTGGAAGTACCGATGAGCACATACAATTGTACCACTAGGATGTTATTGAGCACATAAAATCAAATTTTAATGCCAAACTAATGCCCAATCATCTTACATCTACATGGAGAAAAGGGCAAGGTAAGTTTAGAATGTTTCGGAAACTTTTTCTAAACATAATTGGGAAGCAGCTTGTCACATTATTATCCAAATTCCCACGATGTTCCTGATAGAACAGCATTGAAAAATATCTGATATCGGGAGTAGCTAAAACATCCAACCTGGCATTAGGGTGGAAAGCAAGTGCAGAGCATCTATTATGAAAAACATCGTGGAAACAGATAAATTTTGATTTGTTTGGGAGTATAGCTACTCTCATGGAGGAGAGGCCAGTGGCATAGACTCCGTGCTTGTAAAAGCTTAACTGAAGTTCACCTTTGGATAGAGTTAATCAACAGGCACAATGAAGCCATCTTGAATCACTGTAGCAGAACTGTCATGTTAAATATCATCATATGCACGAAACTAGCTCTTAGTAGGACCAAAATATAAATTTATATGTGATTATTTAAAAGCAATTTTGAGGTTTGAAATGATTAAGTTGCATATTTTTCTTCTCAGTATGTGTTCCTGTCATACTCAATATACTGATTTAATGAATCCCTTTTACCATCCACAATTTACACAATCTTGACCTCTAATGTAAATTAAAAATGGCCTTTAAATTTTCTCTAGATCTCAAACATGTACTAGTTTAGCAGGATTCAATGCATGTCTCTTCTTTCTTCTGCTATTGTGATAAGCTGGAGTCGATTGTTTCATGACCCCATATGTTTTCTACATCGAGTTTAAGATTTCAGGCAAGTTGTTGAGTAACTATGCCTAGCCAAGCCTAACCCAGACAATAAATGTTTACACGTTACTCTGTTCAAATAATAGTTTTAACACGTTACGCTGTTCAAATAATAGTTTTTTTTTTTTTTCTTCATAATTTTCAAATAATAGTTTTAGCATCCATAGTATAATCAACCAAATATATGCAGTGGTGTCATGAATCAATCAGCAAATGGTCATAATGGTAATGGATACATTTTTTAATATTGCATATTCTAGCTCAAGCTAAAAAAATAATAATAATTAACAAGTTTCTTTACATACCACCATATACAATTTGAGCCTTCAAAGGCATAGGGTTGCATGTTTTTTGAAACTCAAAAAGGATATTTGTGGCATTGGCAGGCCCAGTCAGCTTGTGGAGCATGTGGATAATGTCAGGACTAAGGTGAGGTACGACAGTACAAACATTATTTTCTTGTCTATAATATTGGAATAAGTTTTTTACATTATTTTCTTGTAGATAATACTGGAATAATTTTTTCTTCAACTAACTTGTCATCTTCTTACACTTTATTGTTATGTCCTCAGTAATGTGGAATTATAAAAATGAGCATAACCAAAGAAGAGGGACAAAGTACATATCTATCTTCTATGTTCATATTTTGCAATCTACTTCTTCCACAAATTTCCGGTTCATTCTCTCTTTCGAAAATGGATTTCATTTTATAACCTATTAGCTTATACTTTACAGTTGAGTTCAACATATTAACTTAAGCAGTTATCATCCACAAATTGCATTAAAGATACAAAAAACCCAACTGAAAAGTTAGATTGATAAAATAAAACATCAACACATAATTGAGTAACTTAATTAAAAAATAATTAAAAGTAGATGCGAATATTAAATCTCTATTTCATGATTACTAACCTCTATAAGCAATACAAGGAACAATGATATCATGAAATACGTTACTTTAACAAGGGAGGTCCATAGCGTAGTCTTTTTCAATGGAATAAAGCTATTTTTTATTTTGATAAAGGGGTACTTTCCATGGGTTTGCCTTGTTATTGTGTTCATATCATTGTGTTGAGAGTTTTTTCCTTGATGAAAGAGAATACCTGGGTTCTCTAGTAAAAAGTGCATCATGCCTAAATCTAACTAGGGAAGAATTGGAAAAAGAGGGATTGTAGTTGTAAAAAATCCAAGGAAATCATCACTGAAGTTGAGATTTTATTCAAAGAGAATGGTATCATGTATCTGGGAGTTTCTGAATTATTGGCAGCCTGAGCATCATACATTGGAACAATAAGAATCTCGTGTTCAATCAGAATTAATAATATATATCACACACTCTTTATGGAGGTCATTGTGCTACAGGACATAAAACCAAAATTGAAGATAAAGTGAAAAGAGCTGGGATATGAACAACACCTAAGTTACAAGAACTGTGTGGTTATCATTTCAGGAATCATGTGCCAATTAATTGTCTTGATTCATTTGGCTACCTTTTGCTCTCTTGATTCATCAACATTCAGTGTCCTCTACGCTCCTGTCACTGTCTCAAATGAAAACAACCAGTCATAACCCCGGTGCAATGCATTTAGCAGAGATTGAAACCAAATACAAGAGGACTGAAGCGGCTAAATTTTTATGACACAACACTTAAATGTATCTATTACCAATAATTTTAGAAGATACAAGTGGGTGATCCTTGAGATGGATGCTTGCTACGTCAAATGGACGATTCAGGAGTCAAAAAATACCATGTTAGCCATGACATCACACAGGTGTGTGTACAGGAGAAGTGCATGATAGACCTACACAGCAAGCAGAATGAAGAAGGGGGACTCATTCCTGTTTCCTGGAACTTCCAAAGAATATCACATCCTATATAACACTTGAGGTTTATTCTAGATGAGGATGGATAAAACTAGGAGTCTAGGACACTGACTATTCAGTAATGTTCCACTGTCCTAAGATTTGAAACCTAGAAAAATTTGACAACCATATATGCACCCAAATCTAACATAGATCCCAAATACATGCAATAGACATTTTTACTCCCAAATTGCAAATAAAATCACATTATCAGCTACTGATCAAGACCTACATTGTTTTCCACCAAAACTGATATATATCATCTAGCCAGTCCATCTTGGAATATATGGTAATCAGAGAACTTGGAAATTTTCAACAGCATGAGATTTATCAGAATGATAAATCATGAATAATGTTTCTATATAATTCCATCTTGAAAACTACTTTTTCCACCCAAAACATAACTGATGACAATTGCATAAGATTAAATAAGGAGATATGTCATAAGATCATCAAGGAAGTTGATATCCACTTGCTAACCAGAGCAGCTGTACTTTCCCTGGCTTGCATTAAGCCAAAGTAGAAATGGATTCCCTATCTTAAAGTGATTGCAGGAATCTCTTGAAAAAATCAGGAAGTGGGACTGGCTGGAAACTGTAAATTATTTATTTACTTTTTGAAGATATCACCTCTCAGTGGATAAAAAATAAAATAAATAAAAATAAAAAGTTAATCAGACATAAATACGGTCTTCATTTGGAAATGAGTACAAATTAGCCAGGGTTATGAATGAGAAGGGAAAGTTCTGCAGCAGCTGTAAAATAGACATAGTAATCCTTCCTTATGCTTCAATCTGGAAAGCCAACCAGTGAAAAGTTCTAGTATGACAATGATATAAACCAACTGTTTTAGCTTTTTGTTCAGCTGAATCAAAGTGCTTGCTGCTAATATCAAAGAAGAAAGTGGGATTAGAGAGCGAAACCTTGGAATTTAAGGGGGAATGAATATAAATTGAACTCATAAACAAACATATAGACTTTAAACTAAGTGAGAAATATGAGTTAAGAATCTAGCCAATCATAATCACTAAATTTCAAGATAAAGAAATTACAATTCTTTGCTTCTTTTACAGTTCATCTTAATGGAACAGCAATTACCAGCTACATGAAAGAGAAAAGAGACTGTTAAATTAAATTAGTATATAAATGCAAAGGGGGAAAGGCCATAAAAAAAAAAATTAAGGGAAGAGATCAGAAATACCATGGGTTAGAAAAGAATATGTAATATGCCAAACTCAAATTGCATAAAGCTTCTTGTACTCATTGTTCAGCATCTCTGAATCTGACATAACCGAGGCAAACCACTACTGTGACTAGCTACTCCTTGTAGACATGCGAATGCTCCTCAAATTGGAAGCTTCAATTGGATGGATAATTACCCAATATGACATTATCCCCAATATTGCAGCCAAGACCACTGTCCTTATAACTGTAATACTTACTGCCAACCGCCTCTCATGATTTCCCACAGCAATATAAGACAGTGCAGAAAAAGCCACCGAGACAAAATTGCAAGCCAACCACATTAGTTTGTTTATAACTGTCACCAATTGCTTCTTGTTGGCGACTTCATGGATTTTGCACTCTGGAATCAATGGTCCTGTAAGATAGTTGCAATCTCTGAATGCCCAGTTTTTTCAGCAGTGTCAAGAGTAGTTTCTCCGGATTTGTTAATGGTTTCAGTATTAATTCCCTTGCAATTGAGTAGTGCCTGAAAGATGATATGGAGAATAATTATATTAAGAACTTCCATTTTATAAAAGGGATTCAATATTTTCAAGTGATTCTGACTCCTTAGTTAGTGTCATGCAGATTAGGCTCGTGATGAATATAGTGAAGTCCATCACACTCCAATAGAGAAAATAGACTCTTTCATATTGCAGGAGTTTCCCAATCCTTAGAATGTTCCCACTTCCCACATGCAGAACTTGGCATGACTTCTCTTATCAACTTGTGATAGAATTACTCAACCCTAGGGAGTGGAATATTAAGTATGGAGTCACTCATATTGCAAGACTCTTACGAAAAACGCCACAAAACTAAGAATGCAATAAATAAATAACATTGGAAAAATAGAACATGCACCAGCACAAAACACAAAGATTCTTGTGATTCGGTGTATAGCCTACGTCGGTGAAAATGGATGAAAATATTTCATTATGCTAAGAAAACAAGAGATCACAATTTCCAACCCTTTGTCTCTCTCTTACTTTCTATTTATCATTCTCTATCAGTATTCTCTAGTACCCACACCACAAACCCTAGCAGAGACTAGATTTGGGTCCACAATTCGCAAAACAAAATGGGTCAAAAAGTTATTCCCTCAAAACCCATACTGAAACAAAATTCAGATCACAACTTCAAAAAGACAGGTACAACAACTCCACAAAGAATGTCGGATTTAAAGGAATTTTTATAGTTGAAGAACAGGTAAGGTAATTTTGGATAAAAAATTACACGAACACTATGTGAATGAAAATGAAGATTATTATTTAAGCTGAAAAATCATACTTGTCTAAGACTTGCATAAGATGGAGCTGAGATTTGTTTCTCGTGAGGTATAAGCTATTTCCTCTAATTCATAGAAATAAACATGAGAGAAAAATAGGGTTATAGATTGAAAAGTAGGGTAATTGGGTTCGTTCATATGATAGAAGATTGGCAGCAAAATTTATTAAAATTCAAAAGAAACTAACTGATTCATTGTTCACCTGGATTCTGAAGAACAGAGATCCTTAATCTTTCTATCCCTCATAGAAATTAAGTAGAACAGAGGCGAAGAAGGAAAGGAGTGTAAGCAAAAGTCAAAACTGTAGAGTTGATTGATGATGATTCTTCACTGGTTATTAGAAAGTGCAAACTTGTAATAAACCATTGTCAACTAACGGGCCATTAGCCCAATGGTACAGAAGAGTAGGGGTGGCAAATGTGCGGGTTGGGCCGAGTTTGAGTTGGGTTAAAAATAGACCAGTTAATATGGGTCAAGATTTATATTCAATTCATTAAGAACAAATTAAAAATAGACGGTTAAAAATAGGCAGGGTCAATCCGTTATGACCCATAAATTTATTAAGAATAATGATAGGTCTTCTGACTTTAATTGTTGACTCCTCCTTCGAATATAATGTGATTGAAAATAAGTCGAAGAGAAGAAATGTTTACGGGATTTTTTTTAAGAATTCCAAGTAATCTAATCACATTGTATTCTTAAAAAGAGTCGGTAAATTGGTAATTGAGATCGGAAGACATATCATTTCTTATTTATTAATTATTATTTTTTTATTTAAAAATTTTTTAAAACCTAATATCTGCTTGATATTACGCTAAGGAGGAAATGAGGTCCAGAATTGAGCACAACGTGGAATCTTAGATATCCTAAGATTGGAAACCTTCAACCGTCACCTCTCGCATAACAATATGACATTAATTGGTAGGGATAAGAATACAATGATTGTGGTCCATTTTACAACTTGATCATTTTCTCTCCATAAAAAAGGATGGAATCTTAATAAACCTGAACTACCTAATAGGAACTTTAAAAGAGGTGACATCTTAATAAAGCTTAACGATCATATATATATATAAATTTTTTTAATTATTTTTTTAATTTTTAAATTTTTTATTTATTTTTAAAATTTTTATTTATTTTAAAAAATTAATTATTTTTATTTTAAAATTATTTTTTTTTCGGAAGTTTTTAAATTTTTTCAAAAGTTTTTAAATTTTTTAGTATTTTTTAATTTTTTAAAATTATTTTTAATTATTATTTTTTTTTTTAGAAGAAATTTTTAGAAAGAGGGGATTGATGAGAGACAAATTTAAAGAGAAAGGATTGTAAGTGAGATAATTTTAGAGAGAAAAATTAATTGAGTGCAGTATAGAATAAATGTGTGTTGTGTGTTTATTATGTGATGGGTGAAATATGGGTTGAATATGGTAACCCATCTTGACCTTCAAATTAAGTGGTTAAAAATTATTCAACCTATCTTGACGCTCAAATTAAATATGATTCACCCATAACCATTAAAAAGTGGGCGAATATGGATGGATTGATGGTTTCTGACCCATTTTACCACCCCTACATAAGAGTAAAGCTAGAGCCCAACAGTACTTTACCTAATTAAATTATGTACTTAGAAGTTTTTGAAATTAAAAATACTCGTAAGACAGTGTTGTCTGAGTGGTTGGGTTGCTCTTGTGTTCGAGTCCTCCTGCTTTCTTTAACCATTAATCCCTAACATTTTTATCATTCAAAAAAAAAAATGAAAAATATTTTAATATTTAAGCCATATGTCACCATGGCGGTGAAGATTTTTTAGGGGCAATTATGTCATTTTTTTATCTTTAATTTTTTTAAAATGTGGAGAGCAAACAGAGAGAAGTGTGAATAGCAGCATCTCTTTAAAATTATAAAGTTATATAAGATTAGTCTATTAATCAATGGTCTATGCCACTTATTTTTAACAATGTGTAAAAGTTGTAATGTGTATTTTAATTTTTACCCTAGTTATTTTGAAAACTCAAACCTAATCCCAAACAAAGTAAATAGTTGGCATACATTTGCAAATGTGCTAGTTAGGCAATTTTAACTTTGAAATTTAGTGCAAATGTCAACAAAGATAACTCACCAGTCCAACGGATGTGCGGTTGTCGTTCTTTTTTATTTTGAATGGTAAAACAAACTCACATGCACGTGCCCGTGTGGAGGCTTAAACCCCTAACCTCTCCTTTAAGAAAACAAATTTGTACTAATTGAAATATTGGCCAACTAAATCCTGAACAAAGCATGTGTTTCCACCTTGTTCCTAAATTTCCAAATAAATGATTCTATTCCCTATTTCCGCATAACAACCAAAGTAGGAGTTCATATGTTAAACCCTGTCTTCGTTCTTTGGGTAAGCCAATACTCATCTTTTATGTTTTTGATGATTACCTTTGAAAATAAAAATAAAAATAATTTCCTTTTGTTTAGGGTTATGCTCCTTGTAAAAAAAGTTTTAATACGAGTACTTGAGATTGATTTTTCTGAATAGAAGGTGTTGGGATTTATATGCCCTGGCATAGTAAATTCCTATCTGGATTATAGTGACATATGTTCCTGACATATCTGAAATATTTATGATTTATATAATTGGTGAATTCAATGTATTATGTTTCGATTCACTATGAAATTGATAGTGTCCATGTAATTATAAGAAATATTTATATATATGTATGTGATGACAATCAATGCATGATATATAAATAGTAATTATAAATTGTTCATAGTCGGTAATTATGGATGGACTCATAATTAATTAAGACTTGAACTGGATCCGCGTTAGGTTGAGATATATTGCGAGAGCCGTCGTATGCAATTACTCCCTATCACCGTCATGGCATTTGACTCTTAAGCATGAGAAAAGTATAGACTCTTTTATTAATTAATAATTATTTTGATTTGTTCGGCGGATTCTTCGGGATCCTTAGACCGACACTTTGGGTAGTTATGTAATTAATAGTTAGAGGGTTATATTTTCAATATTTGCATCATTGCTACTTGTATTTATTTTGTATTGATTATGGTTGATCACAAAGTAAATTCGAAGGCCTTCGTGTGTTTTTAGACAAAATGATTTATTATATATTTATTTATTTAAATTATTATTTTTGTCAAACAAATGTTTTATTGTGATCGAGCCAGAAATAATCAAAGGTACCAAAATAAATATATTAATTAAGTAGTCGGATTGATGGCTATATTTATCCGATAACTAATTATGCATAGAGGGGTCAAAGTACAATATTGACTTAGAGGTTATTTATTATTTAATTGGAATTCAATTAATTTCTTTTAGTGGAGTAGAAATTAATTTATGAATTAATTGAATTGAGTCCATGGACCGGGCCAATTATTAATTCATTGTAGCCAATAAAATAATAGGCCCAATGGATTCTCACTCATAGCCCAACTTGATATTGGAATCATATTAGATTTGAGACATATGAATTAGAGATGGAGAATGATTTGTTATTTCCTTTTTCTTTATTTTTATGTTGCCTATAAATATACATGGTCTATGTATATTTTAGGGGTGATTTTAGTAAAAGGAAAAAGGAATATATATTTTCTCTCTCTAGAAAATTAGGGTTTATGTTCTCATCTAATGGAGGCTCCCACAAGCCTAGTTTTCCGAGGTAATTCATGGAGGCTTATGAGTGATTCCTAAAGGCAAAATAATTACCAAGAAGATGGAGATCCAAGGAGAATGCATCTTGCTAAGGGATCTACAATAAGTGAGAACATTCACTTTAGAGGAGAGATCTAAGGTTTACTCAAATCTTGATGTAAGTATTCAATCTTTTAATTGAATGATACATCATGTTTTATTTTTGCATGAAACTTGTCTCTATATAATGAATCAAGATTTATGAATTTAAATCCCTCAAAAAGTTTTTAAAACTAGCACGTTTCCCAACAGTGGTATCAGAGCATGGTTTGATTCATTACTAGAGATCATGATTTTATGAAAATCATCATTCATGGATCCAAAATTATATTCATATATATTTTTATTGATGTATGATTTAATATGTTGATATATATTGATACATAATGATGTATGAATGATTGTGAATGAATGATGATGTATGGTTGGGCCATGGATGAAGCTTATAGGTTAAATTAATGTAATTTTATCTTTGGATGAATGTAATTAAGGCTTTGATTTAGCCGTTTGAAAGTTCAATGATGTAATTTATTTTTTTCCATTGTATTTCAAGTTGTAAATATTTTTAAAGCCATGTAATATTCATCAAAGGATACTATGAAGCTTCAAGAAGGTCCAAAAGGGTTAAATTATGCTTCAGTAATTTTCTGGAATTTTTTGAGGCTTAATTTAATTTTCTGGAAATTTTTCTGATTTTTCTGGAATTTTTCGGCAATTTTCCGGTGACCGGAGTTTGGCCGGCGACAAGGGACAGCTCCGGAAGGTGGACGGATGATCCGGTGTGGTGCGGTATACATGAGCGCACATCAGCAACCGTCGGATCAAAGTTCAGCGAGGCAAAGATCCAGTGGAGTGCGGCTGGAAGTTGCCCCATGCACCAGCAGTAGCAAGGCGCGTGCATGACACGCGCTGGAACCACAGCAGCGCGCATGGCGCGTGCCAACGCGTGGAACGCGCTGGCAATTCGCACACGCGCGTGCCCGCGCGTGAGAGCGCGTGGCACGCGCTTCAGCATTCTCCCAGCGCGTGCAGGCGGGTGGGAGCGCGTGGCACGCGCTGGAGACCTCTAGAGACGCGTCCAGTCGCGTGAAGAGGTTGGAAGGCGGGTGGTAAGCGCGTGTTGGTGCGTGTAAGACCTTTCAAGCGCATTCGGACCGTCGTTTCACTTCTCCTGCTGCGTACCAGCCTTATGTGGGTGTTTACAAGCCGATGGATGATCTTCCCGTAATACTTAGAGTAGTTAAATGTTAAAAGCTGATTCCATTGGCCATTTTATTTGTTTTATCTGTCATTTATTTATTTATGCGATGTATGAAATGCATGGAATATATAATTGTTAATTAATTATTATTCATGCATTGGATCCATGATATTTATTTAAATGGCTTGATTTATATTAATTAAATTATGAAAATTAATTAGATTTGATTACTAATTAATTTGAGGATACTTATTGGGAAATGAAAAATTATTTTTGTAAATTATTTTTTAAAGTGTGCTTCAAATTAAACATTAGTGAATCATTTAAATGTCCAAATAATTTCTAAATTTAATTGGATTAAAATCAAGACGTTTTGCATGCATTATATCATGTAAATGAATAAATTCAAAACTCTAATTATTAATGATTAAAAATTGAGTGGGAGCGGGGATTTTTATACATTACCCCATAGCCTTCGTTATTAAAA